AAGTTCTTGTTTCCTGTCACAAAGAAAAAAGTGGAGAAGGAGACATTGAGTCACTGATATAAATATCTAATATTGTATAAAGTTCTAACAATATAAACCCATCAAATCCCACCAAAATTTAATTAAGTTTTCATATAAGTCTTAAAAAAATAAGCAATTTTTTCCCTTTTTTTGGGTGTTATTAATAACTTAAATTTAATTCTTATGTTTGTAAACTGTCATTATTGGTGGACATAATACTGATATGCATATCACATGAACATCGCTCGCTCTTGTTTTTTTTTTTTTTTTTTTTACATGTTCTGGCTTAAGGAAGAATGCCACATCATATTATATGTATATATTTTTTTGTAAAACTTAATTGTAATAAAATGTTATTTTCATGCCATAGGTGGTTGATGTTTTAAACTTTATTAATTTTTATAAAAATATTCCAGTTACTTTGTATAATACATAGTGGATTTTTTATTTATGAAAATAGGTTTAAAACATCAAGTGCCAGTGTTACATGCTGTAGTAAGGAAGGGGGTCACATACTTTATAAATTTAACAAATGAATCAATATATTTTTTTTAATTTCTTATTCAAAACCTTTATTCCAAGGGGGGAAATTGTGAAAAATATGTACATGCAATGTAGACCAAAATCTGGTTCAAAGTAATTGTGAATTAAGTTCCCTATCTCCTCCAAACAAGTTTACCTCATTGCAAATTGAAAGACCTCTTGTACTTTTCACACCTTTCCTGGACATGACAAAAGAACTGTATATTTCTTGTATATTCTATGCGAATTCGAAGGTTTTACAGTTTGACACCTGGTCAGGAGAACAATAAACATGTGACTTCATAGGTACGTGTATACCAGGTGGATTATCACCTGATCTTCCTCAGATTCTACCTTAGATCTGATTTATACAGTACACATACAACAGCATTTCAGTTGACCCCCACCCCTCCACAACATATTTCATTAATAATTTTCTTTTTTGCACAACTGCCTCTATAGGTCATTATTTGCTGTAAATATAAAATTAGCTCATATCCTAAAGTAATCCCCAAAAAGTAGATGAACTTATTTATAAAAGTATTGTTAACTTTAATTTTTTCTTTTTAATTAAATTAATATTTATTGTCAAAATTTCTGTGTGTTCATTACCAAAAAATTATGCAGTATTTATTTTGATCACATGATATACATGTAATCATGATCTAAGACTACTTGTATAAAAATTATTAACAAATCAGAGGCCAGAGGCATATGCTTTTAAATTCAAAATACTTGTAAATTTCTCTTCTTTCCTTTTATTTTCTACTTAATAATTATATTCTCTTCTTTTTATGATACCTATGTAAATTGGCAGAAGAATAAAATGCATGCCATATATAAAAACTAACACCTAAGTTCACCTGCTGGTTACATATAGCTGCAAGACTGTAGCTCTGATCAGAAAAATTGGGATGGAAAACCTAGAGCTACAGTGCCATCCATTTAAAAAAACACTTTTACAAGTCTGTTATTTCTCTATTTCTTTCTCTGTTTACATGCATTTAAACTAGCTGCCATCTAAAAATTTCACTGGCTTTTCCTAGCATACTTTTTGCAACTTTATAATTCCACTGCAAAACATTTCCCAAACCCAATGTTTACATACCTTCTGAGCCTTAAATTTAGATTATCAAAATTTTCACAGATTTATATGCATGTATTACCGGGGTTAGTGTATATACTGCCTTATTTTAGAGCTACTTTGAAAGAACATATAAATGTCCTATGCCAAACCTGATCTAGAATTTATTTTAATTTAAAAAAAAAGAAAAGAAAAATAATTTCCTCTAATCCAAAGTACTTGATCAATTCAGGAGACTTAAAAAAAAAAAATCAGGTCGGTGGATCCGTAAACCAAGAAATAAAAAAAATGTCACCTTATGTATGATCAATCAGAAATTTTGAACCAAGTCAAAAAGTTTTATCAAGATTTATATTCTAATACACTAGATTATAAACTGATTGATATTGATTTAGAAGAAATATTAACTCAACTGAAATTCCAAAATTAGATAAAATCACCTCTTTGATTAAGAAAAAGATATTGAAGAAAATGAAGTTTTACAAGTTTTAAAAAAATATGAAGAATGAGAAATCTCCTGGAAGTGATGGTAAAACTTATTTATTCACAACTGAATTTTTAAAAGAATTTTCTGGAGTGATCTTAAAGTCTACATACATTATGCGAGCTACAAATTGTATATTGTCAAAAAAAAAGAAAAAAAAAAGAAATTCCTATTTCACAAAGACTAGGGATAATTTCATGTATACCCAATGGGAATAAACCCAGACAATTTTTGAAAAATTGGAGACCATAACTCTACTAAATTACAGAATAAAATATACTCTGGATCTTTTGATTTCAGACACTCACACTGAATTCCTAAAAGGAAGATATTTTGGTGAAAACACCAGATTTATTTATGATTTAATGGCATTAACACAGAAGCTAAAA